TACACATATATATATATATATATATATATATATATATATATATATATATATATATATATATATATATATATATATATATATATATATATATATATATATATATATATATATATGCATACATACAAACAGAGTCACACAATATAATATATACATATAAACAGTAATTTATATTTTAATACCTGGGAGCAGTTGTGTACATTTTTATTACCTGGTGAGCGTGTGCCCATGGAAAATAACGGGTTCATGATCGTAGTCGTCGTCGCCATCCCAGCAATCCATCTCGACACATCGACAACCTTGTTGCAGAGCTCGCACATATGCTTCAACCGAAGAATCATCTTTCTGTACAGTCGTAAGAATCCATTGAAATATACTCCCACCAGAAATGATTCTACTCACTCACTTTATACACATCTATGAATAATATATATATACATATATATATATATATATATATATATATATATATATCAGAGGCAATGCTAGTCCGACGAATTCGGCATGAAGTTGTGGAGTATTTCCACACATAGGTTTAAATACTGATTAGTAGTGACTGCAGGGCCGTGTGTATAGTCATGTGTCGAGGTAATGCATAGTAGACCAAGCATGCGCATTCCGTGATTAGAGGATCTGATAATTTGTTCTCTCTCTGTGTATGACTGAATGAACGTGACATACACGGAAAAATAGATTACATATATACATATATCTAATAAGGTACTATATACAAAAAATGTTGCTCTAAAAAGAATCGCGATACTGTGTGTGGGATATATAATACAACCTCTAGCTACAGATATATAGGAAATTGTCATATCTCACCTTTCCACATTGTAAGGCACATCCACAGGATACGTCTTTATGAAAATGAGAGCATGCTACCTACACGCACGTATATACAACGCAACATATTCAGAGCACGCTTCAAAAAAATCAAAAAAACATGCTACCTACAACCACACAGACACTTACGCAATGCCATGAAACACCGACTTGTCAACCATCAAATAGGAGGATGAAACGTGCTAAAGTAGTGGGATAGAAGTCGTTTATGCTGCTGCGATATGAATTATATGTATATGTATACACATGTTAGACTACCTTATGTAGTATTGGCATATATATAAATGTATAATAGCGTAGATATACAGATAGCAAAGTATTACATGTATGCAAAATTACATATAGATGCGCACAAATGCAATTGCACCATACCAGCTGGTCACCCATTAAGTAGGTGTTGTGCGACGAGTTGATGAAGTAGTGGGAGAGGGGGCTGTACATGCTGTCCTCAACAAACACAGTGGACTGTGGGTTGTATGCCGAGGCATCGCTGCTCTCCAGATAAGACTGGAACTCCATCGCATCGAACTTGGTCGCTTCTGAGGTGGCTGCTGCCATGGTTTCGGGCGTCAATCGCATCTGCAATGTGCAAAAGATGCGTACAAATGGAGATGGTGTAGGACGTGTGTGTATTGCTAGGCGTTTGTGTATGGTGTGGTAAGATATCACTGAGTGAGGAAGTCGTGCAGTAAAGCACTTATATCTGCTGGAAATGCGTCTACAAACAGAAGAATAGAAGAACCAGAAGATGAATTTTCAGGAATGATTTCAGGTCACGGGTTCCCACGTACTTTACAAATGATATATATATATAAATATGTATATTTTTATAAATAAATATAAATATATATATATATATAAATATATATATAAATATAAATATAAATATATATATATAAATATAAATATAAATATAAAATAAGTATAAATATAAATATATATATATATATATATATATATGTATGCATGTACAAATACACACAAACATATACGTACCTCGGAATTGATGAGTCCAAACATCGCCACGTGCTTCTTGATCAGATTTACGGCACGCTCTTCGGACGCGTCTTCTTTCTGCTCTTCCTTCAAAAACTGTGCAAACTGGGCGGCAGACATCTCACCATCGGAGGAGTACTTGGTAAATATAGTTCTAATATCATCGGAAAGGAACAGTTTGTTGCACATCTGCAGTTGTGGTGTTTATGTGCAAAGTCAAGTAACCATGTTAGCAATTAAACAATTTGCCCATATCCTTCTGATATGCCGGATATGACCAATGTCTTTCCCTATGAAAATAGGTCGATACAAATAATATATTAAAAACATTCGCAGCACACAGCTCTGGTATAAATTGGTGACTTAATTTAGAAAACACTAGTAATGGCGAATACATGCAAACACAGTTGGGAGATATTGGAGAAACAGTGTGTAGCGTCTCAACAACTCAGATCAATCCGGTCATACGCACGTCGACTAACATTATGAAAAGTATACATAACAGACATCCACTATATAGTAGTTCAATACTATAACTGTAACTATACAGATACAAGCCAATCATTCGGCTAATTGAAAGTGGTGTCATAGCTTTCACACTGTACAGTAGACACATACATCTGAGAACTCATTGTAATCGATATCGTCATCGTTGTTGCGATCAGCCCCTGCGAACATCGCCACCACCTCTTTCTTGTCGCTCGTGAAGTTGATGGCGTTCATCAGACGGGTGACCTGTTTGTAGCAGAGTGGTGTGCGGGGGTGATTTGTTTTTTTTCATGTGTGCAGATATAAGTAGTTTCCACACATATTCACTCATTGTAGAATCATATATCATATGGAATATCTATGCGCGTACACTC